TCGAAATGAGTTTTCTAAGAGGGACCTCCAAGTCTCAATACTATTCAATTTGTAAATTTGTTATGTTGCTAACGAGATACAATGAGAATTCAATGGCAAGATCCAAAACCTTCTAGTCGGGAAGATCCGAGTGGTATGAGTTCGACAACTACACTTATGTTTGAACCCTTATTCCATTTACTCAGTTGAGTGACGGATACGAGTCAATGCTAGAGTCAGAGTAGAAGGTCATAAGCGTCTATATCGTAACTATTTTGAGGGAATGAAAACGATGTTCAGTGACATGTCCATCAAGCAATTGATAGAACATCATCACTCGAGGTTGAAAATGCCAGATTCTTCATATACTGGGATAATATACCAGAATTTACCTCGACTCACAATTTCTCAAGTTCACACTTGTACTTCACCTAATTACACCAACACGAATTGCATCAGAAAAATTGAAACCGTTGACCCAAAAATGTAGAACTAAAAAGATGTGAAATTGCCTCATTTCTTGACGAACGATAAGCCATTCTGGTTCGCATATCGTTCCATGAATCTCATGAACCGATCCCAGTCTCGTGGAGTTCGCATCACGTATTTGGCCTCTATTCCTGCAGGTTTCCCGTTCACGAACTTTGCATTAACATCAACTGACTGAAGAACTCCTTCCTCATCAATCATATAGAATCCAGTAATGTCACCTACTTCACTTGACGAGTCAAAAACCGAGGGTTGGTCGAACCTGAATATCGCCATACCATTCGTCCCGTCCCTTGATTTCGTAAGCCTCACATCTGGGATCGTCTGTTCATCAGTTCCTTGAATGAACTGAATTGCGGGTTTTATCATCATTATGCTCAGTCTAGGCATTCTTCGAGTTCGAGTTTTTCTTGGCAAACTCGAACGCAATAAGCATAAAGATTGGCCATTGAACGATGAGCGAAAGCTAGGGTGAACTCCTCCAAATGCCAAGCCTATACAGTATGAATCACAATCTTTACTTTCGAGAGCAATAATAATTAGAAAACAAGTAAACCGTACGCATACTTCGAGGTTACGCCCACTTGTCATGGCAGGTTTTTACACTATATTAGAGAAAGAGAATACAAGCTTTTCTTCAAATCGTTCTCGCTTTAGAGAATCATTTATATGGTAAGAATCTTAACATCAACACCATTATTTGGAAAAATTGTTAGCAGCTGTAGTATGATTAAGGAAAGAATTTGTTCTTCCGACATAAGAAATTCTTCCTAATCTTTTCAAACAAGTACGTATAGTACTTTTTGTGTTTCCGAGCTAAAGTTCTAAGTTCTATACAATCCAAAACTAGCACTAATTTTTGACTTTCTAAATTTCCCATTATTATGGTAGTGAAATATTTAATTATCATAAACTTCTCAAAAAGGATTTGGGGGGATAAAAAATGGTCCCAGAACATTGTAACATCGATTACTATTTTTCAGCAAATTTCAGACAAGCATGTCATTTTCATTCAATCACATGATATTAAAACAAGAAAATTACAAAGAGACAATGCATTTATATAACAAAGAAAAGGGATAAATGAGTAGAAGGGGCAACCTGGATGAGAGTACGGTTGGGGGGAATAGTGAGAGATTGGTGAAGAGATTGCAAAAGACTAGCGATGCCATTGTTTTTTCTAGAGAGAGAAAAGGAAATGTTTTAGTGAGAGAAACATAAGTATTATAGGGAGATGATGATGATGTGGTATGAAGCGTGAGAGGGTGGTGTGTAATGAGGACAGCCATTCACTTACAAAACATTATTAGCCCTTTCATAGGATTGGCTTGTGACACATCTGTGAACAAGTAAATGGAAGTAAATTAGGTTTGTACTTTTAACTTTTTAATTACTTTGATTTTGGCTTCTTAATCTTTACAGAGAGATTCTAAGCTTCGATTTAAATATGTTAATTTCGATCCTCATGGGACAAAAATAATCATGTGAACGTTAAAATTAATGGTGAAATCATGTTAAGTTTAGGTCCTCGTTTTAATTTTTAATAGCTTTGCCCTCTCACTTTGGGTGTTTACGGGGTGTATTTAATTGAGATTTTTAATGATTTTTTAGGATTTAAAAAGTTTAGGGGTATCCAATTGAGATTTTTTGAAACTCTCTAAAAGTTACGGTGTATTCAATTGAGATTTTTATAAACTTTTAAAAAATCTATAAAAGTTGCGATGTATTCAATTAAATTTTTTTAGAAGTCTCTATATGTTTTGGAGTATTCAAATTTTGATGATTTCTAGAAATTTTTATAAAAGTATCTAGAATACTAACTTTTAAGCAGAAAGTACTCATATAAAATCTTAAAATTTATCTCTTGTTAATCACGAAATTTTGGGAGACTTTCACGAAAAAAATATTTTTTTCAATCTTTCTTTCCTTTAACCTTCCAAGGACATGTATGATTAAAATTTATTTTCTTCAATTGATTATATTTTATTTATCTTTCTTTCTTTATTTTATTATTTATCTCTATTTTCTATATAAAAAAATTAAATTTAATTCTTGTAGCTTTCTTTTCTTTTTTCATTCATTTTTTTTGTGAAAAATATCTATTTTTCTATTAAATTATAAAATTTTATATGAAAAGATTATAATTAAATTTAAATATATTGAATTTTATTTATTTTCAAAACTATACTTTGGAGTACTAACTTCTAATCAGAAAGTACTCATATTGTGTGTAATTTTAATTATTATTTATTTAATTAAGGTCTTAATTTTTTATTTTTTCAATTTTTTTTATTATATGGAAAGAAGAAAATGAAGGAAAAGGAAAATTGTGAGAACTAACACCTATGTGAGAATTTCACATCAAATTCACGCGAATTTTATTTTAAATGAAAATTTTCAAAAGTTTTTTAACTTCCACAAAAGTCTATAAAAATTTTAAAATGAAAATCTATAGAAGTCTACAAAAGACTTCTACTAATTTTATACAAATCTATAAAAGATCTATGAAATTCACAAAAGTCATTACTTAAAAAAAGTTCATTAAAGTCTTCAAAAGTCCCAATTGAATACATAGTTTTCATGATGTGGGGACCTAGATTCAAATATTTAAATAGGTTGAGAACTTGAAACTTCACTTTTCAACGTTCGAGGGCCAAAACAATACTAATTCAAAGGTCAGGGAGGAAGGATTACTTTTTCCTGAATCAAACATAAAACTTATTGGGCTGGACACATGGCGAGTTGGTAAATGTTAGGCCTAATTATTAGTGGGTTATAGTTTTTCGGCCGACAGAGGAATTTCGGCCATTGGATAATCACTTGAGAAAATTACATGTTAAACAGGCGGTTCGATTATTAACTGGGGTCCAATTGAGTGGGCCGATTTATTTGTAGACATGGGCTCAAGTTTTACTAATGGGCCCAAAAGGAAAATGTAGCCCCATTTTTCCAGATGGAATCCCCAGCCTTTGCTCACTGTAACGATGGGATCCTCAACCTTCTACTATGGCAATTAAGGTCCCAAGTATGTAAAAACTGTACGCTCTTCATCCTAACTAACGAAAATCGTCAATTCTTTGAGAGCCAAGCACTACTAATTTAATGTTTACTCAGTTCATTTATACATATTTATATTTATAATTTAATCTGTTTATAAATTATTGTCGATATGCCATCTCAAACCTTTTGTCAACATAAGCTCTCTATTCATAATTGGTGTTTGGTAACTTACTAGAGATTCAATTTTTAAACTAATCCATTTATTTAACTAAACCACCTTTTTGCAATCCTCAAAAGTCCAAAATTAATCAAAATCAAAATTTTGCTACATCCACTTTTGTGGGCCCACAAGAAAAACCTGGTCCCACAACATGTGCCACATGTCCAACTCCAATCATCACCACGATGATTCTCCCTTCATCAATATTCTTTTATATTTACTCATGCAATGCCTTAGCTTGCCCTTATATGTGCCATGTGAAGCCCCGTAATTCTCCACCCCAACCCCACCCAATGAAGCTCCTACAAATCTTAGCATACATTTAACAAATCCTCTCTCTCTCTCTCTCTCTCTCTCTCTCTCTCTCTCTCATAATAGGAGGGAGGAGAGAGATAGAGATGATATTATAAGGAAGGTGATATTTCGCATGGGCTCAATCCACTTTACTTGCACTGTTGCGCATACTACATAGCGACTCTGTACTATGGTTTTATATTAGACTCTCCCCACATGTTTGCATGTGAATTTGGACTATTTATCGTGTTGAAATTTTTGGCCAAGTATGTCTTGAGATTATGAATGATTGCGTTTTATATTCTTTCTCCATCTTATGCTCTCTTTTTTTTTATGTCTGTTCAATTCAACGTATCAAATATGTCTTTCATAAGATTGACTCTCGATTATGTTTAATGTATAAAAAAATGAAGATAAAACTTTGGTATAGCCCATCTTAATATGGAAAGATTCCCTCTTTTTAAATTTTTATTTAGCTTTTAGGGGGTGGGTGAGGTGGGGTATAGGGCCAACCTTAACAATGGAGTAACCTTAACTCATATGAATCTCTGTCATTCTTGGAAGTTGGAAGCTACCTTTCACTTGAAGAAATCCAATTCTTTGAGCACTGAATTTCTAACTATGGCCCTGTCTGGCTGTGATTTTAAGCTGAATTTGGACCGTTGCTGATCAAAAATTGCACCGTTGGACAATTTTTTAATGGAAATATTCTGACATCTTTGCAGTACAACAACAGGCCATTTACTCTCATTTTTCCAATATTACCCCCGTCATTACACACTCTCAACTGCCAAGATTCTCTCCCCCTTTCCTTGCACCGGCACCTCACATTTCGCATATTTCTCTCCCTACAAATACCCGACGATGAACTTCCAGATCTAGTCGTAAATATTTTTTTCCTTCAATTAGCGCTATGGCAGCACAAAGAAGGAATTTTTTCCCCGTCAAATCCTATTGTCTGCGAGTTTTTTTCCCCGTCAAATACGGACTCGTGTTAGGCGGTAGACGACGACGAACTTGCTTGCCGGAATACAGCTTGTGAGCTCACAACATGGACCCATATGTCCCCTCAGTAAGTGTTTTCAGTTCCAAATTTTTTGTTGCACCTACAGAACACACAATTTTGAACTGAACCCAACTTATTTAACGAACTCGTCTTCGCCGTTTCTTGTCGCAGACGGATGGAAACGTAAATTCGTCCACCTCCAACCCTTTTCCCAGCATGACCCAACCAGTACCACCAACGTGCAAGCACGCCCAATGGAATCCACATGAGAACCGGATTTTCATTGCCGCGTGCGAGACGGTGATAGCCGACGGTCACCGTAACGGAAAGTGCTTCACAAAACACGGATGGGACCAACTCATCCGTTTGTTCAATTCGAACTCCGGTCACTGTTGGATGAAGCAGCAGCTGAAGAATCATTGGGATGGTCTTCGAACGAAACACAAACGTCTGATGGAGCTTATTCACGGTACTGGAGTGGAGTACATCTCCAAAACGGGATATATTGCTGCTTCCGACGACTGGTGGGAGAGAAAGATGAAGGTAGACTGCTTAATATGGTCATTTTTTGCATTTTACAAATTGAATTGCTTTCAAACTGGGAAACTCGTTCAATGTCCTGCTATTGATTTTCTATTCACTATGGACCCTCCCCAGTCAGCATCTTCATAGTTCTCAGGATCCTGATATTCATTCTTTTTGCATAGACTTGCCAAGGGATTTTCTTAAATTTTTAGGTTCAATGATTGGAATTTAATCATGAAAATAGTGCGAAAAAAGTAAAACTGTTAGACGGTGGGAGAGAAAGATGAAGGTAGACTGCTTAATATGGTCATTTTTTGCATTTTATGGTCATTTTTTGCATTTTACAAATTGAATTGCTTTCAAACTGGGAAACTCGTTCAATGTCCTGCTATTGATTTTCTATTCAGGGGCTCTGTTTCTTCCAACACTCAAGGTGAGTTACTGACTATTACTTTCGATATGCACAACACAGTTTATTTTTCAAATTTTGACTACACAAGTTTCTATGCTATGTTGAAACCATTGCTGTTTTGAAGCATTCTGATGTTCAACTTCTTCTGCATGTGTAACAGGAAAATAAGGACTACAAAGAATTCAAAGGCAAAGACTGCAGGGAGGTGTACAGCCTCAAGGTGCTATTCGAGGATGCATATGACAACGATAAGTATGCAGTCACACCCTCAACAATGTGCAGGACAAGCTTCTCCATGTTCGAAGATAGTGGACTCGAGGACCTACGCGACAGTCAACCGCTTGACGAGGAAGGCACCGGGTCAAGTGATGAGAGCGAGAAAACAGAATTGGCTGGATCCAGTGCGGACATGTCGAGGCCGCAAAGTGGGGATAAACGTAGGTTTGGCGGCAATAGCAAAAAAGGTAAGAGAGCAAAAATGTCCGTCTCGGATGTATCGGACGCTGTTAACCGTGCTTCCACTGCCAGTGAAAAGGTAACAGCTACAATCAACAATTTGCTGGGTCCTAATGTTCCAGACGCGCAGACGCTCATGAACGAGATGTTGTCGACTGGCCGACTGCACAAGAAAACTGATATGTACTTCTGGACGTTGAGCTTCTTGTCACCGAGGCGTAATAGGGAGATACTTGCAATGCAGGAAGACGCGAACGACAAACTAGACTGGGTCGAGTGGAGCTGGCTGGAGCACAGAAAGGCTCATCCGAAGTGAAATCTGCGGTACAGAAAATTTTCCCCTTACAGCAGTTTTATGTAGACATTTTTAATTGTGTGTTGTTTTTTCATTTTCATTTCGGCATGTCTATGACAGAATTGGCTGGATCCAGTGCGGACATGTCGAGGCCGCAAAGTGGGGATAAACGTAGGTTTGGCGGCAATAGCAAAAAAGGTAAGAGAGTAAAAATGTCCGTCTCGGATGTATCGGACGCTGTTAACCGTGCTTCCACTGCCAGTGAAAAGGTAGCAGCTACAATCAACAATTTGCTGGGTCCTAATGTTCCAGACGCGCAGACGCTCATGAACGAGATGTTGTCGACTGGCCGACTGCACAAGAAAACTGATATGTACTTCTGGACGTTGAGCTTCTTGTCACCGAGGCGTAATAGGGAGATACTTGCAATGCAGGAAGACGCGAACGACAAACTAGACTGGGTCGAGTGGAGCTGGCTGGAGCACAGAAAGGCTCATCCGAAGTGAAATCTGCGGTACAGAAAATTTTCCCCTTACAGCAGTTTTATGTAGACATTTTTAATTGTGTGTTGTTTTTTCATTTTCATTTCGGCATGTCTATGTGAACAAAAATGGGACTTTACTACTAAGTGATCTCACGAATCCACAACTGCAATGAAATATTTCATGTCACTTTCAAAAGATTATGTACCTGTTGCCATTGCATGCCAATTACTATACGTGCCTGAACATTAACTCATTCCAAGGGTCCTATTCAAACAATGACCCACATTTAGTACACTGACCATCAATTGAGTCAAAAATCTTTTTTTTTTCATGAGCTTTTCTTTCTACCAATGTCCATTTTAATTTGTACTAATGACAGTAATCTGTGGAGCAATGTCTATTAAAGAGAAAGTGCAACCAATCCCTTCCATTCTCACAAAAACTTGAACTTCCAAGGAACGTAGCTTGGGTTTTTTTTTTCAGTGCTTCTTTTGCAATTACTAAGTGAAAATGGTGAATTTCAATTTCAACTGTGTGCTTCTGCCATCCTCTGAATGTGAAGATGAGATCGGAGAGGAGGAACTTCTGCAAGAGCTCGAAGAGGACATCATCGAGTGGTTTCGCTACTGCAGAATGTCCTCTATAGATGTGGCAACTTACTATCGCGAACAGAGACGTCGAATTAGAAGATTTCCCTTCGCGAGGAACGGACACATGTTTATGCTAGACGCCATGCAATGTAATTCCGAACAGTGTTATGCAGAATTCAGGATGTATCCTGCCATGCTGCGTACGTTCACTCATATACTCCGTGACGAATATGGACTACGTAGTAGCCAGCAAGTTGATGTGTATGAACAAGTTAGAATGTTTTTATGCATATTAGCCCATGGAAAGGGCTACAGACAGGTTCGAACTTTGTTCAATCATTCTTTGCAAACTATTGGGCACTATTTCAAAATTGTGCTTGATGCCGCATGCGAATTTGCTATACGCCTCATCAGACCTAATCCAAACTATAATCACGGTGCAGAGCATCACGTACCAAATTTGAACCAGCATCCGCTATTCGAGAATTGCATAGGTGCAATTGACGGAACGCACGTGCAAGCTATCTTGCCGCGGGACGAACGAGTAAATTTCATCGGACGCAAGGGCATTCCAACACAAAATGTTCTGGCAGCATGTGATTTTAATTTATGTTTCACATTTGTGCATGCAGGGTGGACGGGAACAACGCATGATTCACGCATGTTGGCTCGGTCTATACATAGTCCTGAAATTGATTTTCCCCATCCTGCCCCGGGAAAATTTTATCTTGTCGACTCAGGATTCGCCCATAAACCTGGGTACATGGCTCCATACAAGGGTTCTGACATACTGTATCATTTTCAGCAGTTCTACGACGCTGAGACGGGTCGTAGACGAAACTTTCGCAACGCACGTGAGAGATTTAATTTCAGGCATTCGTCGTGCAGAAACATTATCGAGCGTGCCTTTGGTGTGTGGAAAGTTCGGTGGAAAATACTCGATCGTATGCCCAGTTATAATTTCAAAATGCAAACTGCTGTTGTCCTAGCCACGATGGGTATGCACAACTTCCTTCGACGGGCAGGAGTTGTCGACGAAGCATTCACAAGGGTGGAGACAGATCCGAACGCTGCAGAGGTAGAACTTCCAGATGAACAGGAGCAAGCCGCTGCTGAATTGAATGCTCCAGAAACGCAACGAAATGAATGGGATCGTTTCCGCGACTTTTTGGCTCAAAGTCAGTGAACGTGTATTCATATGTGGTTCAAAAGTAGTTTTGAAAAATAAAATGGTTAAAAAAGTAGTTTGGGAAAAGGTGAAAAATAAATTTATGGTGAATTTTACTCGAATTATGGTGATTTTTGATATTTAACTTGCTCGAAATATAGTGAATTTTGCATCCATTGTTTGAATTGGCAAGCTACAAAATTATTTATTAGACAATGCATTTTGGAACCATGTTCAAGCATGGCAAGTTACAATAATACAAGGACATTAAAATTAAACAAATTGATAAACAAACATGTTAAATCGTACACAAATTTTGACAATTTTTTGTGCAATATCTTAAGGATACGATTTATATCGTGTAAAAAAAATTGTGCAATACCCTTAATAAAAAAGGAAAAAATTGATCTCATACTTAAAAAAAAAATAATAATAATAAATAAAAAAAACGAAAAAAAAAATAAAGACAAGAACTTGTGTCTCCGTGACAAATATTGTCACGGAGACGTGTTTTGCCCTTTATTTAATTTTTTTTTTTGGTTTTCATGTTATTTTTTTCAAAGTATCATATTTTCTTTATTTTTTTTCTTCTTGGTCGTCTGAATTCATGCCTCCCTTTCATATCAATTTTGTTTTTCATCGATATACATAATTTTCATAATTCTAACGTCGTAAATACAAGTTTTTCAAATCAATGGAAAAAAATATATAACTCCTTTTTTTCTTCTTCGTCGTCCGAATTCATGCCTCCCTTTATTACTGTTACTTTTTCCTCTTGATCAATTAATTTTTTAAATAATCTAATAAAAATTTTGATGTCATTTAGAAAATTTCCTAATAAATTTAAATTTTTTTTTATCTAGAAACATCATTAAAAAAATTAAGAATTTCGATAACAAGCTAATTTTAAAAATTTATCGACGATTGTACGATAGTCAAATATATAGATCTTTTATATTCTCTCGAAGTTCATTTCGAGATCTATATTATAGACATATCGAATGATCTAAAAAAATTTTCCTCCTTATTTATATATTTTTTAAGTATGAGATCAATTTTTTCCTGTTTTTCTTAAGGGTATTGCACAATTTTTTTTACACGATTTAAATCGTAAAGATATTGCACAAAAATTAGTAAATGGGGAGGGGAAGAGAGCGGCTCTGTTGTGCATTATTGATTTGTTTCAATTTTTGTCATGTTTTTTTTGCTTTTGGTCAAATTATGGTCTTTTTTTTTTTTTTTTTTTGCTTTTAGTCAAATTATGTGGGCCCATGCACCACATTGTTGTGGTTGGGAATTGAGTGGATGTCATAATGACTACAAAATTCTCAGTCAATTTACATGACAAAATGAGGAAAGATAAATAATGAACTCCAGGACAAAATGGTCACTTTGGCAAATTTTTACAAGGCCATGCACGTTGTTGCCTGACAGTGGGCCATTGTGATGTAATTGGAAAATCAATTCTTTTGGAGTAATAATCTCTACCAGACGGGCCCTATATATTCTTCCGTGCTTTTGTACAGTTTACAAATGAACTTTCTAACCAGAACTAGGGCATATTTTAACTTTTATCAAGTAGTGACTTAGGTCTATTCCTTTTCAGTTCATTATGCTTTAAGGAAAACCAAAGATTACATTTTTAATGACATCTAAAATTGTGGATTTCTATTGACTTTTGACGAGACATAGACAAAGGGATGAGGAGAGACATTTGAATCGATAATGTACATGTATATTATGCACTAAATGATTACATTATTTTGACATATTTGATAAGTTAGATTGAGTTAGATGTGACCTGATCATGTTCTATTATTCATGAGTAACGTAGTTAGAGGCAACAAACAACAAAGAAGCAAGAATTTGTCTACTAATTGTAAGGATGACAATGAAGTGGACGAGGCTATCTCACATTCCCCCATCCAAGAATTGTAGGAGAGGTTGGGGCGTGATAGAGCGGAAATTAATATATCTTCATTTATCGTTCCTTTAATTATTCATTTATATTTTAGATACGATTGAAATTTAAAAACATAATAATGAACATTTTTGGATAGTTTCGAGAAATTTAGGGTGGGAACCATGCTCCTATCCCGTCCCGATTACCTAATTGAGGGAGAAATTCGTGGCGGAGTGACGTGGGATGGGATGAGATACGATATTTTCCCATATCTTATATACTGAATTAAGTTGACTACTATAACAGAACAAGTTATGACATGATAAAATTGTTATAAGAACGCATTCTCCCCAAAATAAAATAAAAAAATTCATGTCGGAGTCAATGTCAATCCTCTAAGGTTTTTAATTTAAAGCTAATCCTTTCGGTTACACACTCCAACTCTTGTAAAGAATGGTAGGAAAATGAGTTTTTGAGAGAGGAAAAATGGATTTGAAAACCAACTTGTCGTTGTTCTTCTTCTTTTATGGTTGTTGGAATAATTAATAATTCCATATGTGGGCTTCACATTTGATTACAAAATTTTACGGGTTAGATATATGACTTATAATGATAATTGTGTTTGAGCCAAATTTATTAAGTGATCAATTGGGCTTTTTACACCTTACGGGTTGTACTTAATTTGATGTGGTAATTTAAAGTATGTGGGCCAGAAATAAACCATAATTAGAATTCTAGTCATAATGGGACGACTCAAATTATTTCATATATATAAAGGCTAGGTCCCCTCTCCTCTCCATATGTTTTATTGGCTTGCCCCGTTGATAGCTAATATTTTGTGAGGAGCAAGGAGAGGAAGATTTTGACTGCTATTACTACTACTATTCATATCAATAATGGCTTCCGCAAGTATGAATTCTTTTTATTAATTTAATTTTGGTGATCTTGATTCTTGGCATGATTATAAATAAATATCAACATTTATATGTCAGCTTAAAGATTAGAAATTGCCTGACGGGGTGATGAAGAACAGTTCTGTTCACTGCAATTGGACTGGAATTGAATGCAATACCAATGGTGCATTGGAGAAGCTTGATCTTTCCTACATGAACCTTAGTGGGACTTTGTCCAACGACATCCAGAAGTTACAAAGCCTGAGTTTTTTAAACATGTGCTGCAACAGATTTTCTTCGCCATTGCCGAAATCTTGGTCAAATCGTAATTCAATCAAGATCATTGATGTGAGCCAGAACAATTTCATTGACAGGTTCCCTGTTGGTCTTGGACTGGCAGCTACATTGACAGCGTTGAATGCCTCAGGGAACAACTTTTCGGGTTATCTTCCTGAGGATCTTGGAAATGCTACTTTGCTCAAGAGCTTGGATTTGCAAGGGAATTTCTTTAAGGGCTCGATTCCAAAGTCGTACAAGAATCTTGGGAAGTTGAAGTATCTAGGCCTTTCGGGTAACAATCTCACTGGCCAAATACCGGGAGAGAGAGGTGTTCATCGCTCAAGACAATGGTTCTTGGTGAAGCTACCTTGGACCAAATTTCTTCATAAGTTATTCTAACCATACAAAGTACTTTCCAAAAATTATCTAAATAGGCTCTAAGACAGTTTCTTAGCCTCAGAATTTTTTTGACTTTTCAAAAATTCTGTCAAATTGGCACTTAGTAATCATCAACATGAGTACAACTAATCATCATTTATCTTGACAATTGCTTGGTAAAAGGTTGACGAGAGGAGTAACATGTATAGCTACGGAGTAGTGCTAATGAAACTCCTCACTAGGAGAAGGCAATTGGACCCTAAATTCGGAGAATCTATTGGTATTGTAGGATGAATGTGCAGAAAATGCATAATAAATCTTTAGAAGCTTAGATCCAACTATAGGAAACACTAAGAGGGTATTTGGTGGGAGATTAAAATTAGATTTCTTCGTAGATTGTGATAAAAGTCTTTAAAATGTGTGGTTGAAAACTTGTGGGACTCATGTAAAATATGATTAATATTAATTATTTAACTTTAGATTAAAATCAGATTTTAATCCAAATCAAACGGTTCTAAACATGTTCAAGAAGAGATGTTATTAGTCCTACGAACAGCCATACTTTGTACAGCCAAGCTCCCCAAGGATAGACCTTCCATGCGGGATGTTTTAACAATGCTCGAAGAGGCTAAACCTCGGAGAAAAAAGTAGCAGCAACAATGGAGGAAATTCTACTAACAAAAATTGGCCAGTATTTATCACATCACCTGTAAACGGCCTTCTGTAAGAACAAATTCTGCATTCCTTCCAGGCCATCATTATTTTTGAGTTTTTGATGGCTTAAGCCACTTAAACAACCCCCTGGTTGTCCAGGGGGGTATGTGGGGGTTGTCACACATGAATGGTCCTTTTGTACCTAGTTTTTGTTTAATAGGTTCAGAAATCTTTTGCCTCCTTGGGGAGAGGCTTTCTCTTGCAAATAACACTGTAATTCTTCTCATATATGCAAAATTATTGAGCTAAGGTGTATATCAAGGAATAGAAGTTTAACAAATAATATAACGTAACGGCGCCATCCCGACAGGCTCGTGTACAAAAACCATGCACATATATTCTTTTCATTAACAAAGATAAGATCAACAGTTTGTGGGTGCAGAGAAATCAGAACAAAACCAGCAGAAACTCCCATAGTTACAATGACTTCCAGTGCAGACTGTGTATCCATATGACACGAAAAACTAGCACTTGTGTTTTGTATACCAAAAGACTTCCCCAGAGAGTGGCGTGTATATGATGTGTGGAAAGTGTATAGCACGAAAAAGAAGTGACCAAAATCATACAAGCAAAGACGACCAAAACCGATGGTTGCCTCAACAAAATTCTTCAACCACACAGTATCTCCATTTATCTTTCTGTTCTTCGTTCTGCTTGACAAGATTTGGAACATAATTTACATTGGTGCCATCGACCGTATCCGGTTCCTTTCGTTAGATCTTGGGGCTGCAATCAAGAAGAGACATATAAGAGGCATGAAGAAATTGTTGAATAACCTCAGTTATAAGCTTACGCTGTTAGTCACATGTTTAGGGTGGCTTAAAGTGAACTTATAAACATGAGAGAGCATAAGCTAGTGTACACTTACCAAATCCATTAGCCTCAGCTGTCCTCATGATTCTAAGCCTCTTCACCGAGATAAGAAACATCCTGATAATTTCACAGTAGCCATGGTATTGTCAATATAAACACGATGACATTCATTAGAAACTATAAACAAGATACAGAGAAAACGTTAAATTTAATGATATCAATATTAAATTATTCCTTCTATTTTAATGTTTTTCACAAGGACATAAACTGGCCATAGAGATGCAGAATATCAGTCAGAAATTATTTATCATGTGAAGTCAAAGGGACATACTCCCAAGGAACATCTCCAACGAGCATCCAGTCTCCTTCTTTGTCTTCATAGGTGAGCACAAACTCAGACGAACCATTCAGTAATCTTGAACGTCTTGTCTTTAGAACTTGCTCCTCTGCATTTGAGCCTAATGTTCAACAAAGCATCAGAATCGGTTAAGGAACAATGTAGTTCACAGTAAGCATGGATACTTTAAGCACCCGAAAAAATAATGATTATGAGTTTCGCATTAGTTAAGGAAGACTAAACCTTTAATCCACACATCAGCTTTGAAGAGTTCAATATTTTTTCTTTTCTTTGGGGTATTCCAAATTTAAATAAACAAATGTCAGGGAGGGCTGATGCAGGACCTGAGGGTGGGTAGCATGGGAACAATAGCAGGTTTCACAAACACATTGTTTCGCAAAGCTCTTCACAAATTGAAAGGATGTAAAAGTGAAACTATAATGTTATGCATTAAGTTCTAGTCCCAATTATGAAAGTAACTATAAGCAATACGAAAATCAGAAACACGAAAAGTGAGCACAGATTTACGGTGATTCTCCACAATATTAGCTCTATATTAAATGGAAAATTAGGAACTTACGTCTTGCACCAACTACTGCACTTAGTTTAAACATGTCATCCAATGTTTGAGATAAAGTCTCGTAGCAGCTATGGGCACTCAGATCTACTTTTCTTCCAATTGGGATCCTGTCCATGTTCACCTTCACGAACAAGGAAGTTTTGAGAAGCCCTTTTTCCTTAGCAACATTTCTGTTCAAGTTGCTGCCACAATTTGTCTTGTCCACAATAGTAGTCTTGTTTTTACATTTATCAATGGCCGGGGTAATTTCTTCAGTCTTTGGTGATTTTGCATGGTTTACCAAGCTTTGTATTCTGTAATTTCTTAAAGGAGGCCATCCAACAACCTGGCTGCTTTTATAAAATTGGCCGAGCAAATAAAAACAATATTGACATGATTAGCAATGAATGTGACATTTATATAATTAGATTCAGTTACTAAATTATGCATTCGTTAGTTTCCAAAGCTGTTGCCCCATCAGTAATCCGGAAATCTCAGGGGCTGTTACGAGATAAGGAAAGTGAATACAATTAAATAGAAAGAGGTAAACCACTTTACCAGAACAATCCTAGGTGTCATGGTGTTTTGATGGAAAAGATGCCCGTGTTTTAAACAATCCAATAATAGAGTGCTGTGTAGCATTTTGTCAACAATTGTGACAGTTATTCTGGCACAGTAGCATGGTTCAAATAGAATAAAGGTTTAACAAATCTAATACTCAGCGTCAATTAAAGAGCTCTTGTAAAGATTGATGAACTGGGGGATAGCTAATATTAAAGAGATCTCTTAAGTTCTTGAATTTATTTCAATTAATAGCTACACAACAAATTCTTAGCACTTTAAGATGAAATCAACCTTCCTTGATTTGAATTTGCTTTTGGCGTGCCTTAGTTTACTGATATGGAGATATAAATGTACAGAAAACAAACTAAGCTTGTTTACATGAATTCTGTTTCACAGATTCGGATTTACAAAGTTTTATATCAATTATCAACCTACTATTACCCTCCTCGTTTATCTTGGCTCTCGACCTTTTATGAAAAATATAAGCAAGTTTCTTTT